ATTATCTCAGATTGAGAATCAAACGGTCGTACTTTACGCGAAATGTACTAATTTTTGCCTCAACATAAAAAAAAACATAAAAAATCTATATATACCTTTACAGGAAACTTCAATTGATTATACAGCTCACTGATGAGAAGATTGTGGGTCAGAGTTTTTCTCATTTTCATAATTCTGACAATAGCAGCATCTATTTGATATTGTCTGTCTTGATACACCCTCTCTTCTGTTGCTTTTTGTTCTTCATTCTGAAAAAAAATTCCATATGTCTATAATCTAAGAATAAACTCTCCAATCAAGTTTGCATTAAAATAACTTTTTATGCAAACGTGGAAAATAAAAAGATATAAAATGTGTTGTATTATTATCAAGTACCGTTTCTTTCATTTGGATTTGATTGATCTTAATTCTGAACAGCTTGTTTGTAAATTCTGCATTGAATACGAATCTATCATTATCGGCGACATCCCGACCACGTGGATTCTTTTGAAGGACACGAGCCTTTCCGCACGCCAAGGACTGCAGTGTTCTTCTCAGTTCGCCGTCCTCGATATTTGTAGCAGCCTTGATATCTTCTAATGAGAGATTGTCACCATCGTTGAATAGAATCAAGACCAACGCTTGAAACAGCGATACCTGCAGCTCTTTATTGCCCTATTTTTATATCAAAAATATTTGTGCGTTAATTAATGATTGTATATCATGCTGTACAAATATAGTATCGTCCTTATTCAATACCTGATTAAACCACGCTTTCAATACACAATGTCCTAAGGTCGGCTGCCACTGTAATTTTCTACCGCTATGTTTTCCCAAATAAAACTTATTAAACACGTCTTGATACTGCACCATCTCCATCGGAAGGGTGACTTCCATCACTGGATATGTAGGCCAATACCCCATGGTAAGTATAGATACAGTTAGGTCTAGATTACTTGCTACCAACTCACTCTGCAAGTTTCCTGCATACTGAAGATATAATATTTGAAATAATACATTCTGTAGACTCAGTTAATAAATAACAAATATAAACTACGTGTACATAAAGTCGATTTACCCTACGCATTTAGTACTAAATGTAAAATATGTAAGATATTCACAAATTGCAAATTAAAATTGATGTGTGTACGTGTATGAAATTCTTTTGCAATATAGGAATAATCATTTTCCTTACCTGTTTAAACGCGATATTGATATCTTTACTAAGTTCCATATCTTTGAACATTCCTTCCAATTTACTAGTAAATCCACCACCGCATTCTTGCTTTAATTTAGATAACATTGACTTTTCAGCATCTACGGAAGCCGATTTTCCCACCAACAAACGTTTGGCCAAATCCTTCTTATAAAACGCTTCGAAAACATCTTTTCCGTGAATAAATCGAAAGAGTACCATAATCTTGTCTAATAATCTCTCTAATTCCTCTTCCGTCGCTTCTTTGTTACCCGCGCGTAACTTGCAATCGACAAATTTAGCTGAAACAATAAATATATAAGTTTTCAACCTGTTGTAATATATTTTCAAGTTCAAAAATCAATATTTTTGAACTAACAGTATAACTGAGAGAATTTCCTAAACAACTACTTGCCTATTAATTCTGCTGGTTTGTTTGCCCTTTGATTAATAAAAGCCTCGAAAGCTTCTTTTAAGCTATTTGCGAACTTTTCATTTTTATGAAAGCACGTATTAACTATATTATCCATTTTATCTTTAAAATCTAACAATTCCTGTACCATCGTTTTATCCTTCTCGGGATCTATAACTATCGTCTTGCCTTTTTTCTAGAAGG